AAGATGTCTATGCGGCTTCTTCTCCGTCCGACAACAACGACAATGAATCGTCTTCAAGTGGTTCTTCAAGGGATTCGACGCACGAGTTCAACATAAAGGCCTTGGACTCGTTGACGTCCGAGGATTCTGCATGGCTTCCTCTCCCTTCCACATGTTGCTTGTCGGGACCGCAATGCGCAGCATTATGCGCCCATCTCCACACATACTTAGCCTTTTATGCACCACCACCTTCGCCGACGGATGACGAAGCTGCGGTGGGGGACATCCTTGCGTATGTTAGCAAGCTGGCCCGCGAGTTTCGCATGCAAAGGTACGATGATAACAACGCACCGCTCCTTTATGTCCGCATCCAAGTTGGGCAAGCGTCCTGGAGTGCTTTGCTGGATAGCGGCGCGACTCGCAGTTTTATCAGCCAGTCCTTGGCGCACAAGTTCGAAGGAACCCAAACCCGACGGCGATTAAGTTGGCGGATGGTCGGACGCAACAACTCCTCGATTGCTACATTGAAGTTGTGCCGGTTTATTTCGCACCTCATGCCTGCGAACCGGCGACGTTTGCTGTTCGCGACGCCTTCGGCGCCGAGGTGCCGTGTACCATTCCTCTTTTGCACCCCTCGATCCGGTGCCAAGTTGTAACGGCCAAATCTTTTCGGGCCACTTGCACTTACGAGCGGACCGACGAGATAGGCCTATGTTTTCTACGAGCCATCGCAACGACCGAATCTTCACCTACAGACTTGTCTTCGGACCTCCTACGAGTACTTTAGCAAGAAAGTGCCCGCTGTGCACTCCATCGACGACGCACGAAAAAAGGAATTATTGGCCTTCGTACACACGCTCAAGCGCTGGTGGCATTTTCTTCTCGGTCGACGAGAGTTCCGATCGGTAACGGATAACAATCCGTTGGTCTTTTACAAGACCAAAGACACGGTCAATAGCACCATTGCCCGTTGGATGACCTTCATCGACCAGTCTGACTTTTTCCTCGACCACATGCTGGGCAAGTCAAACCGTTTTGCGGATGCTCTTTCACGACGTCCGGACCATTATACCGCAGTCCACTCAACTTTTGAGATTAACGACGACTTGAGTGACAGCTTCATCCGCGGCTACCAAGTCGACCCCGAGTTTTGCGACAAGTACGCAAATTGCTCCCCTGCCAATCCTGCGCCATCACGATATTGAATCCAAGAGGGGTACTTGCTCGTCCACTCGCGAGGGAAGGATCTTCTTTGTGTTCCGCGAGATTTACATTTGTGCACACGGCTTCTTGGCGATTTCCACAACGCTCCCACCACCGGACACTTTGGAGTCAATCGTACGATTGGTCGACTCCGCGAGCGCTTTTGGTGGCCCGGTGTTCTCAACGACGTCACACGCTATTGCGAGTCATGAGAGGTTTGCCGACGTTGTAAATCCTGCAATCATTGTCTGTACGACGAGTTGCGACCATTACCAGTCCCCTTGCGCCGAAGGAAAGCGATTGCCATGGACATTACCGGACCGTTTCCCAAGCACAAGACTGGTGTGGATGGTATTCTCACGTTGGTCGACCGACTCACCAAGTTTGCCATGTTTTTGCCTTGCCGCTATCATGCCAAGGCACCGGAGTTGGCCGAGGTTCTTTACGCCGGTTGGATTCGAACCAAGGGTTACCCCAAGGAAATCGTCTGCGACCGCTACACTCGGTTCATGTCCGATTCTTGGCTGGCGCTCATCAAACGATGGGGCTCATCTCTCAAGCCAAGTTCAGCTCGCCACCCCCAAACCGATGGCCAAACGCAGAGGGCGCATCAGACCTCACAGGTTCTCCTTCGCACCCTCATCCGTCCCGACCAGAAGGATTGGGTTGAGCGGCTGTCGGATGTCGAGTTGGCATACAACTCGTCCATCCACCCGGCTATTGGGATGTCACCCTTCGAGTTCGAGCACGACTCGCCGGTCACTTCTCCGTTGGACACAATCATTCCACGAACGGACGAAAGCGACGGCCATCTTCTTTTCTTGCGTCCGATGCAAGAGCTACTTGTTAAGGCACTCGACCAGATGGCTAAGGCGCAGCAACGCATGAGCCAACAGGCCAATCACCAGCGTCTTCCTTGCCAATTCCGTGTCGACGATCTCGTTTGGGTTTTCGTCGTGGAGTTCAGCCTCGAACAAGATATCTCTTGCAAGCTCCTCCCGAAATGGATGGGACCTTGGCCGATCGTGGCACCCGCTGGGGATGCACCCGAAAGACCTTCCTTCATCATTCAGGTGCCCGCCCACTTGCTCGTCTACCCGGTCTTTCATTGCTCCAAGTTGGCTCTTTACACGCCAACGGAACATGACGATTTTCCCGGGCAACAATCGCAAGACCCACCCTCTATGGATGGTTTTCAAGAGGTCGGTGACATCATCTCCCAGCGACGCTACGGCAACAGGCCGACCGTGTACTTGGTACACTTTGCGTA